AAGTTACAATCATTATTAGAAAAAAAACTACAATTTATCACTTTTAACTATTTATAAAATAATCTTTGGGTTGTTTAAGTTAAATAAAATTTATATTTAAATTGGCCTATAATGTTATATTTAAATTGGCCTATAAAGTATTTTATACAAATTGTTCAAAAATTATACCTTTAAAATGATAATGGTTTACATCCAACAATATATTAAAACTAATAAATTAAGTATAATATGTTAAAAGTTAAAAAAACATAATTTTATAAGTAGGATTAAAGATATTATTTTAATATTAAAATTAAGTTTATATATTAATACACTTTAGATTTGATATTTATTTAACCTAATTACCAAATTATAATTATTATTATAAAGAAATTGAAAAGTCATTGGAGTTTCAAATGAATGTGGTGAAAGGAAAAAAGAATGGGGGTTTCAAATGCATGAGATTCAAGAAAAAATATTGCGTGTGGCGCGAGAATAAAATTATATAGTTAAAATAATAATTTTTACCAAATTATTATTTAATATTTCTACTTTGAAATAAAATGTTAGTAGTAAAGCAAATATATAGTTAACATATTAGTTTTATTAAACATTATAGTTTTATGTTTAAGTTGTTGTGATATATACAATTATTTGATAATTTTATAAACCGTTTAAAATTGTGTAAATTATGTATCAAATGAATGATAATATAACGGGTAACAAAACATATGAACAAAAATATGAACTACAACTTCTGGTAACATAAAAATAGAAATACATTTATTATAATATTTGTATTAAAAAAGATATATATACAACGAATAAAAAAAAATATGAAAAATAAACACTAACTTTTAATAACATAAAAACACTAAAACATCTACTATAACATTTATATTAACTCTTCATATTTAAATCACAAATCTCTTCAAATACATTCATGTTTTTAGAGAGCAAAACTTTACAACCTTATAAAAGAAAGTAAAATAAAAAGTTATTAGTGATTATTAATTAATAATCATAAGTTAAAAACTCTTGAATTGTAACTAATAAATATACATAAATTAGAAAACTCTTGAGTTGTAGCGTGAGTTTCAAATGAATACGGTACTTGAAAATGTATATTTATTATTATTATTATTATTATTATTATTATTATTATTATTATTATTATTATTATTATTATTATTATTATCGTCTAAATAATTGTTTTTGATGTATCATTTTAATCCCTTCAATTATTAAACATAAAAGTATTTAATTATAAATTTATAACATACATAGGTGCGTATACATGTTAAACAAATCATATATATATATATATATATATATATATATATATATATATATATATATATATATATATATATATATATATATATATATTCGTAAATGTCATATGTAATTCTTGTCGTAGTAATATGGATAAGTTACTTTTATATAAAGAACATATCATGATAAGTCTATCATCATTACATATCAAATGTTAAAAATTATGTTATCTTTTAAATGTTGTCTTTTAAATATGGTGTATAGGACAACCTAACAAAATAAATAAATAAATAAATAAACATAATCAAAATAGAAAAACTACAATCAAATAAATAAGACCATTTGGTGGTTGAATATAAAGATGTTACATATGCATACATTTAAATCAAAAGAAAAAGTAACATACGCCAACTTTGCTCAAACAAAAAAACCTATATCCATTTTCTGAAATGTCTTTCTTCATTTAACATCATTCAACCATAGAAACGTGATGACAATTCTTCACTAACCTGCAATCAAAATATTTTCCTTGAAAAAGAAGAATCAGAAAGATATATCAAGCAAAACATTCAAGATTGATTAATACACACAAGTGACATATAAAGATTAAATGAGAAACTGAATATAAAGAAAGAATATAAAAGATTCATTTGTTTTGGTTGAAAGAAAAAATTATATTACAATTACTATCGATGCGACATAATCCATTTCTTCAAATCATAATATTTTGATCATGAATACTTTAATTATATGAAAACTTTTGAATTACAATATCTTCAAATCCTTCATACATGTAAGATTTTATATAGCACAAAAGACACAAAAGATTGTTCTTTTTATAGTAAACTTTTCACTAAATGCTAATTAAACATAATATACGTTATAAAACTTTTGAGTGTTAAATCATAATTTAGAAAACTTTTGAGTTGCATTAGTTAAAAAAAGAAGTTTCAAATGAATGTGGTTTGAGGAAGTTAAAAAATGAGGTTTCAAATGCATGAGATTCAAGAAAACATTATAGCTTTATAAATATGTATGATGATTATCTAATCAATATTTAAAATAATTAAAATTTTATATCAATGAAAGGATTGTTACGGCGTAATTCATGAAAATGAACTAATTATTTCTAATATATATATATATATATATATATATATATATATATATATATATATATATATATATATATATATATTGGTGTGTTGAATTGAGAAAATAAAAAAGGTTGAGAATGAGAGAATCATTCTCAGCCACTCATTTAATTAGTCTCTAAACATAAAGGGCACGGTGGCAAACTTGTAAATATGATATAATAGCCTTCAATCACAAATACGTAATTGTAGAGAATTAGATAACAATTGAAATTTATTCGTTTTTTGCTCTTTCAATCCAACCTTCAATTCCGCTTGAATACGAACATATCTTCAACATCTACGATTAATTATACTCCCATCATCATTAGAACAACATTATCGATAATCAACAAAAAATTCAATTTGTATCATTCATTCAACATCGTTCATCAAATAAAACATCGAAATTAAGGTTAGAAAAAGATCAAATCATTTTTTGTTTGGAAATTTTCATATGTTTATCTACCAATCTACTATTTTCTAAGATTTAAATAGTCAAAGTATCATATTTATTACATTTAAAAAAAAAAGTTAATTTGTATGCACTCCAACTGTTTAATGACATGCATAAACTAAATTACCACGTTATATTCAAATATGAATATGTTTTCTCATCTGAATCAATATGTGATTATTAAAACACAAAAAAATATGCAAGTCTTATGTTATTAATATTTAAATAACATATAAAAATTATATATATTTTTGAAAACACCTTGTAATATTCATTTATGAATATACCAACTATTATTCATAAGGGAATATACAATCTAATATTCACAAGTGAATATACTATGTACTATTCTCACGTGATATACCATGTAACACTATATAATATTCACATATGAAAATATCATCTAATATTCATAAATGAATATATCATCTAACATTCACAAGTGAATATACTATATAATACTCACAAGTGAATGCATCGTGTAATATTTAAATATAAATATACTATATTTAGTATATGCTATATTCATATATGAATGATACTTAAATTGTAAAAAAAAAAAATTAATCATAGTTTTTATTCATAAGTGAATCACGAATGTACTGTAGTAAACCTGATTTATTTATATTCACTTATGAATAACGATAGCTGAAAATATAAAAATATATATATATATATTTTTTATTTTATTTTAAAACTATATCAATATAGATGTGTATTTGTAGAGAATAAAAAATCATGAACTTTGATATATTTAAAATCATTTTTCGATAAAAATAGCTTCTTAAAAATAAAAATAAAAATAATAATAAAAAACGAAAAAAAATGTTTTTGTATATATTAAGGTAATACTTAACATAGTTTAAGGAAACATGTTTTGTTGCAAAACACATGTGCATTCCTTTCTCATTTCCGTCGGTACGTTGGAGGCTTTTGCGGCAAAAATAAATGATTGGCTGAGAATGATTTCCCCATTCTGAACATTTTTTTTTCTCAATTCAACTTTTCTCGCTCTCTCTCTCTCTATATATATATGTATATATATATATAACTTTTTTTTTTCTCTCTATCTCTTTATATATATATATATATATATATATATATATATATATATATATATATATATATATATATATGTGTGTGTGTGTGTGTGTGTGTATATATATATATATAGAATCAAGATTAAATAAGAAGGAAATTTTTGGTAGGAAGGCAAGGAGTTTTTTTTTCTACTTATTTTTTTTGCGAACAAACAAAATGAATCATTAGATGATTCATTTGTAAGATGATTCACAAGAAAAAATTCTCAAAAAAACATCTTGATGATTCATATGATTTTGTTGTTATTCACTAAAATTGTCATAAAAGTAAATTTTTTTCTTAATTTACTTAAAAATGAATCATAAAGATGTTTTTTTTGAGAATTTTTTCTTGTGAATCATTTTACAAATGAATCATCTAGTGATTTATTTTTTTTGTTCGTGAAAAAACTATGTAGAAAAAAAACTTCTTACCTTCCTACCAAAAATATATATATATATATATATATATATATATATATATATATATATATATATATATATATATATATAGAGAGAGAGAGAGAGAGAGAGAGAGAGAGAGAAAGAGAACCATAATTCACCAATGAACCAAGAAACCACTTTTTTTTTCAACTTTTAGAACTTATTCTTAAATATATATATATATATATATATATATATATATATATATATATATATATATATATATATTCATAACTTTTTATCATTTTTCCAATGATATCAAATTCGATTCTTTTTACGTCCAATTCACAATGTGAATTTTTGAAAATTCACAACGTGAATCTAGATTTACACGGTGAATCCAGAAAATATATTTCACATTTACAATCTTGATATATGAATTTAGATATTTTTAGATTTTTTTCCGATAAAGAATAAGCTCTAGAAATTAAAAAAAAAAAAAAAAAAAAATTGATTCCTTGAAGAACCAATAATTATGGTTTTCCATTGAACCTTTTCCTATATTGTATTTGCATTATATGAAATATACGTGTATTCATGTCGAAGGATGTCATATACCATCTTTTTAAGAATTTGTTTGTATTTTTACGATACTCACTTTATTCTCATATAAAAATGGTAATTTTGTAGCGTATGCCAAGATTTCAACCTGACAATCTTGAGTATAACAAGATCTTGTATGTGAGGGTCAGTGAGATGGCAAAAAAGAAGGGTTGTACTCCTGCCCAACTATCATTGGCTTGGATTCATCACCAGGGAAATGATGTGGTGCCAATTCCAGGAGCCACCAAGATAGAAAACCTTGAAGAGAACATAGGTGCTTTATTTATCAAGCTAACACCAGAAGAAATGGATGAAATCGAATCTATTACTTCATCAATTTCAATAAAAGGGGCCCATAATATTGCAAGTATGCTAACATATCGGGACATCGAGACTCCTCTGTTGTCATCTTGGAGTGCTTAAGTGATGTTATAAGTCTATAGTGTGTCAAATTCTATATAGATATTAACTTTATTTTACAATAAGAACATAAAAATATATTATCAACGAATAAATATGATTTCATGTTTAATTTTAAGATGGTGAAGGCTGTTTAAAAATGTTATGTCAAAATGTAAGTGTTTTGTCGTTTGTTCACATTTATACGTATATTTATCCATCATACAAATAAGGAATTCCAAAGTATCATTATATCTTCTGACTAATCACATATTGGGAAATATATATTATAAACTAGGTTATCACAGGTGGGAACCATGGTTATAAAAATAATTAAATTTTTATAGTAAAACTTATAATCATTAATCAATTATTTTCAATAAATTATTAATTAAACATGATTTAGTAGGATTTTCAATATAGAAATAAAATTAATTATTAGTAATCATAACCGAAAATTATTGAAGATTAATTTAAAATTCTCCTATAAAATCAGGAATCAAATAAATAATTGCCTAAATTAGTAATAACATCAATACTTTTCAAAAATAAAAAATGATGAAAAATATCAAGTGTCACTTTTATAAAGCATTTGAAAAAAAATATAAATTATGAGAAAATAATAAGTGATATTAATAACTATTTTTTTTTATTAGTATAGGATTTCTTTTATTAGTATAGGATATGATGAATCCTACCCAACTTTCCTACTATACATTATAATAAAAATTAGTTCAAATATATGGTAACTTTCCTACTATACATTATTTTAAAATCAATTCAAATATATGGTTCATATCTAAATATCATCTTCAATTCCTCGACTGTTTGAGCGAACACACAAACTTGTATTGAAACACTGAAAGTGTCATCGTGGTAAACCTTTGGTGAATATGTTTGTGTATTAATGATTAGCCTACACGTGAATTATGCAAATTCTTCCGATTTTAACAAATTATTGAATAAATTTGAAATATCAATCTCGACATTTTTGAAATGTTGTTGTCGAACTAATTTATTCAAGAGATATTCGAGAAAATATTCTTATAATAAATTATCATAATACATATAATTGATACATAATCTTTGAGTACAAGATTTTGTAGCCAACTTGTTTTTGTATGGGAGTTTGTAATGCTATACATTTGGTTGTAATGATTAGGCATGAAATTCCGGGTTACCACTTTGAGGATCATGATACAAGCTTATACATAAGTAATACATAATGATTAGAATTTGAGTCTTGAGAGTAGTGAGACCCCCACTCTTCGTTCGTATAATTAGTAATGTAAATATTTGAGGAAGCTGAGATGTAGAGACCTTAATTTGATGTTTAGTGGAGAACGTATTTGAGGAGGTGGAAATTAGATTCACATGTCGCATGCATGAAAAAAAAAATTATTGGACAACATACACAATGTATGGTCTCGAAAACATAACATATTCAAGGGTTGCAATGAAACTTTGATAACGTGAACCATCTAGAAGGAGTTGTAGTTTGGCTTGTTAAGCAGATCAAGGATTTCTTCCGCATATTGAGCTTACAAAAGGAAAAGCTCATAATTTATATAAGTAATCTTAGTGCCAAGAAAATGATATAGAGAGCCTAAGTTAGCCATCACAAATTCAGGTGAAATGGTGTTTATTGAAAGATCTTTATGCTCCAGAATCATTATGAAATGATATTTTCTAGTAATATACAATCATGTAGGGTTACACCTTATAGCACATAAATACCAATTGATTATTTATTAAGTAGTATTATTATTAATAAATATAATTAACACATGTATTTAATTAGGGAGTCGTTATTTTATAAAAATAATAACAAAAGAAATCAGGTACACCATTTTTGGTGTTATAAAAGTCCACTAAAATATATGATGTAGATTAAAATATTAAGAAGCAGTGTTTAACACTTCTTCTCATTCTTTCTGCCTTCCTAACCGTTCACACCCACATGAGTTATGGTTGGTTTCTTCCTTTGACTTCTTCTTACACATGGATGTTGCTTGCAAGAATTAAACTCAATTAATGAAAGCATTAGATTTTGTTTATGTGTATAAGTGTGAGAACTAAAAATTTAGAGAAAATTAACTTTTAGACAAATATCGACCAAAATGGCAAATTGTTAATTATAAGAAAAAGATAAGATTATGAAGTTATGACCTCATGAAAATGGCCACGATAAGTTTAAGTCTTTTAGGAGAGGTTATACGAGTAAGTTCAAAAGAAAGAATGCACGAAAAGATGCATTTTTTGTAAAAGGGTAAAATGAGAATTTTATACTTTTTGGGCCAAGTTAGTGACTTAATATATTAAGACTCGTATTAATTCAGTGAGAAATCATTTAAAAGAGTTCTAGTGTACATTCTCTCTTTTGTGTAGATATGAAGAGCATATAAATCAAGTTAGAAACAAAGAAGGTATAGGCATCAGAATTTAGGACAAAAACTATCTGGAGGTTGGAATGGAATCAACCAAGGAATTATCGTCAAGTAGTTACTGTGGTGTGCTATAAATTGTTGGGTTTTACATGTAATAATGCGGAAAATATTTAAACTCTTATGGGTACATGCAACCTAATTACATATATGTCATAACTCTATTGAAGCAACAAACAATTGAACAATAAAAATCCAACACTAGTAGAAATCAAAATGCACAAGGATAATTAACATACCTCTAATTTTTTGTTGTAAACAAACCCTTTGATCAATCCAATAGTCACTTGAAACCTAGCTTCAATTATGTGCGAGCCTCTAGTGGTTCACACCCACAATACAAAAATCCTATAAGATTTAGGAGAGATAGGAGAGATATCAAATTTTTGGCTTTGGCTTCTCTGAATGCATTGGACGAAAATTCCAAGTCCAAGGCACTATTTATAGATTATTAAGAAACACCTAAAAACCTTGATTTGAACATAAAATAATATTATTTCAAATAAAGTAATTATGTACTTTCTAGTTATTCTCATGAAGGCTTCCATAAGGCTCCAAGAAGGCCTTAAAACCATCCCAAGTAGAAGGGTTCTAGAACCTATCATCTGTTCAACTGTTGAATAATTACAACTATAGTCCTTTAACTATTAATTAATTCTAATTAACCTATAATTAATTCCAAATTAATTCTGATTAATTCTAAATTACTTATAACTATTTCTAATTAATATATTAGTCATATAATATATTAATAAATCATTTATATCTCTCTAAAATCAATCTAAGCAATTTCTTGGTTATCAGGGGAAACCTAAAAAGGACTTTACTCCTATTCATCAATATTATACCAATTTAGTTAGGAACTTTGACACCTTAATCCAACAATCTCCCACTTGGATAATTCGCTAACATAATTGCTCGTAAAACTCCAAATAACCAGTAAAGAGTGTTTTCAAGACAGTACCAGACTTTGTTGGTCCTAAGATAAGTTATCGCCTATTCCTTCATTGTTTTAGATATTAAATGAACACGAGACGTGGATTAGAATCAATTTTGTCCAAGATTTTGTTTCCCGGTAATATCATTTTGTGATGACATAATCAGACTACTAAGTAAATGCATCAATTTAGTTATGGTTAGGCCTAGCACTATATTGTCAACATCAAAACACAGAGGGGCCCAAAGATATCAGTTTTTCTGTTAAGACAAAAGGAACGAATAAACTTCAACTATACAATCATTCAATTTTACTCATTATGTCATACATGGAAATACCCTTTATAGCACCTAGTTACGAGTTATGCGTTACAACAAACCAATACACAACCAACTAGTGAAATATGACTTACATACATTCGTTTTAAGAATAGAGGATATTATAGTCTTAGAATTACTTGTGATTAAATCCATGAAGTAATCTCTAAGCATGGGTTTAACGAATACTGAAAATCTCTATTTCCCTAATGTATGTCCAGTCTCAATGGACAATCTACAAACGATTCATGAAAGTCTGAAGTCATTACTTACTTCTAAAGTATTACCAACTATGGTGTTTCAAATAACATAATAATAAGGAACTAAAACATGCAAAGTGAAACACAATAAAAGTTAATCAAAAAATAGCATCAAATACATTGAATATAAAGAAATCTTTATTTGATTAGTCACTATTCAATTACAAATTTATTGTTATATAGTTTCAAAATAACATCAATACTAACATCTGAAAATCTAATATCATCTCTTAGTCCAATGCTCTTAGCATGCTCAAAGTTCTTGACCTTGCTTACACACTTTGTGAGAGGATCAACATGATCGTCTTCTAATGAAACACGATTCACCAAGAGTGCACCCTCTTTAACCTTATGTCTAATGTAATGATATTTCCTCTCGATGTGCGTAGATTGACCATGATATTTAGGTTCTTTTCTCAAAGCTATCGTACCTTCGTTTTCACAGAAAGTCTGCATTGGCTCTTGGATTAATGGAACAACTCCAAGATCTTCAATAAAATAACTTAACCACATAACCTCCTTAGCCGCCTAGCTTGCCGCAATGTACTCTAATACATAAGTAGAGTCAACGACTGGTTGTTGTTTGGAACTTTTGCAAGTGAACCCTCTGTCACACCCCCGAACCAGATGGCGGAAACGTCCGGGGGCTCATGTGACTAACAATTGAAATATCATCACAATGAATACACATGAAACATAACACATTCATCACCAACATTTCATATTACAACCGACATTGTTCACATCAAGCACATTGTTATAAATACATAAGTTCAACTATTAAATGTCACACCTCCAAACCAAAATCGCAGAAACATTCGGAGGTGGGTGACTTCACGTAATACCATAACAGTTGAATATCGTAAAGAAATATATATATATATATATATATATATATATATATATATATATATATATATATATATATAACAAAAACGTACATTGTTACGTAATACATGTTTTCAAAAGAATATTACAAATATGATGATTTAAAATGTTTTAATAATAAACACCTTAGCGTTCCTTCTCCAAAAGCTGGTGGTTACCTGTATTACTAATTCCCTGA